TGAACTCACTGTTGCTTAATAAAGCACAAACCCTCGGAGACCTTGATGCTGAGATCTGTCATTTTAATTCCCAGTAACACTTGTTCCTCCCCACTCCACTATGTGGCCGCTGCTATTTTGGTTGGCACATCGGGAGCTGAACAAGGAGCCCCGGCGCTCCAGATCCGAGCTGGGCAGAGCTGGGACAGCTTTGAAAACCAAACCCTCCTGATGGATGGGGCTGCAAGCCGCAGCCGAGCTCGTGGTGGCATGAAAATTCCAGGGGGAGGAAGGCAGGGAAGCAAGGGAAGAGCTGGGCTGAGGCAGAGGAAGGAGAAGGGCACGCTCGGAGAGACGGATCCTGCCTCTGCCCCCGGCATGCCCCGGCCTTGGGGTGCCCATGTGGATGCCAAGGCACCACAGCAGCCTGGGGATCACAGCCCAGACCCTCTGTGCTTTGTTTTTAAGCCATCCCTGGTAAAGCTCTTTCTGTTTGCCCAAATTCTCCACCCCAATCTCTGCTCTTTGGTTGTTCTGGGGGGAATTTGGTGCTGTCCCCAGCACGCCCATTTTACACAGAAAAGAGGGAATGGCAGCTGCTGCCCAGCCTGGGGAGGGCTCTGCTCCCACCACCAGGGCCATTTCCCCACTTTGCCCCCCTGTCCTGCCCAGCCTCAGCCCCTCTGACACCCCACAGACCTGGGGCACCCACGGGGTTCCAGCTGCAGCCCCAAACCCCACAGCTCAAATGGGATCCGAAGGAAATTCCAGCACATTCCATTGCCAATGGCTGAGCAAAGCTCTGTCCCACTCCTTATCCCTGGTCCCATAACCCCTGAGCCAAACCTCGTGGAAGCAGCTGCTTTGTGCTTCAAGGTAAACCCTACAAAAACTTCAACCAGAAGCTTTGTCAGCTGAGGGTGCCCAAAGCCCAATCAATTTCCCTTCCACAGCCACTGTGGCTCTCAGCAGCGTTTCCAAGTGTTTTCGTGGGATTTATTGCTTTTCATCTCCTCTCTCATCTCTGTTCTGATCATTTCTGCCCTCGCCTGTTTGTTTTGGGGCTTTTCCAGGACTCCCAGAGCGGCCCTTTGGGCTCAGGCAGCACCTCCCACCCTCCCTGCAGCCCCACGCACCAGAGACACCCTGCAGGATGCTCCCTCTGCTCCCACCACTGCTCCACAGCCACACGCAGGCAGCAGGAGTTTGGCTGCCTGAGGGTCTGTGCCACCCTCCAAAGCCAGGCTCCACACCACAACTCTGTACAGCCAGGGAAACTGAGGCACGGCATGCACACCGAAGGCTTTTGGAGCCTCGTGGCGAATCAGTGCCACTGGGGACAAGCCCAGGGATGGCCTCACTTGGCTCCCACTTCCCTTCCCTCGGGGCTGTGCCTTTGGGAGCGTGGGGAGATGTTGCTGGTGCCAGGAATCCCACCGGGCTGCCCACGGGAATCGCTGTGTGCTTCACATTCCCAGCGTTATCCCCGGGGCTTCCCCATCCCATCCCATCCCATCCCATCCCATCCCATCCCATCCCATCCCATCCCAGGGATGTGAACGCAGCAGCAGCACGGCTCCGAGCTGCCGGAGCAGCCCAGCTCCTCTGCCTTATGGCAGCTCCGGCTCCTCAGCGAGAGATGAGGAGCCACCTGCTCCCTGGTGGGATGCTGTGGTGGGGGGAAGCAGGAGCGAGCCAACAGCCAAAAATCCATCCTAACAGGAGTGATCCAACAGCCAGGAGTTGGGAAAAATCCATCCCAAACACGTGGACTGAAAACCTTTAAACGCTGAGTGTGGCCGGCGCCGAGTCCGTCTGCACCACCGGGCTGTGAGTCCAGAGTGGAATTCGGGCCCAGGAGGGAAGAGCAGGGACTAGGTTTGGGTCTTGGAGCCAGGAATGAGTTCTCTGGTGAGGCAGGATTAGCTCAGCTAATAAAAGCAGACATTCCTGAGCTCTAAACACTACAAAACAGGAAAAAAGCCCCTGGCCCTGCTATCTTCAGCCAGCGATCAGCAAAAGCGCATCCCCCCGCGAAAGGCTGAGCCTGGCAGGAGAGGCTGAGCCTGGGACATGCCCCAGCCCTGCCCAGCACAGCCACATCCCACCCTCAGCATCGATGCCCTGGATGGGTGAAACGCGACCCAGCCCCTGTTCCTCCTGTCCTCCTTCTCCCTCCTCCAACAGGGCAGAATAAAAGCAAAATCGTCTGATTTTGAAGCTGCTCTGCCTCCTGCTCCCTGCCCTCGGGACGCTCCTCCAGCTGTTTTGGAGGATGGGCATGGGAGAGCATCTTCCCCCAAGATCAGCACAAAACCCAAGTGCTTTGGGAAAGGCTGCAGACACCTGAGTGGGGTTTTTGCAATGTGAAAACTGTCAGAAATCTTGGGTGGACCAAAAACCACCTCTCCAAGCCGCTCTGGCCAAAACCCAGCCGGCTCCACCTGTCCTCCAGCAGCCCGAGGCAGCAGCTCCACTGCCTCTTCTCCACGAGTGCCACACAACCAGGGGTGATAAAAACATCAGCACAAAATTAAACCAGATCACCCCAGGCTGCCCAGCTGGGCCCCCGCTCATTTTCAATTATTCTCCCATTTAAGGGATGTGCAGCACATTCCCTGCCATGCCCCAGGGTGCCAGGATTTTATCCCATCTCCATCCTGCAAGGGGTGATGGAGCTTTGGGGTGCAGAGAACCCCAAGGGCCTCACATTTCCCAAAGGGTTATTGCAGGGTTCAACACCTGCATTTGGGATTTTAACCCACACACAACCACATCACTGCTGGGCAACTCTGCTCTTGGAAGGCTTTTTGGTTTTAATGCCTCGTGTTTTGATGGAGAGGATTGTAGGATCTCTCCCTGCCTGGATGAGGCTTTTCCCACCCCTGCAGTGGGACTGGCATTGGGTTTTGGGGTCTCCATCCTGCAGGCTGCAAATCCCCAGGCAGGGTGAGGGTGCATGAGAGACCATCCATAAAACCAAGCAGCAGCCAGGAGCTCTGCTAGGCCCGGGCTGGTGTTCCCCAGGCCACCAGACATTCCCAATCCCGGTCACTTCCCTCTCCAGCCGCTCTGGCTCCAGTTCTCCTCACTCCCAAGGGCTGGGGTCGTGCTCTGGGTGCTGCCAGGCTGAGGAGCCCGGCACGGCTCCACTCTCCATCTATTTCACAGGCACTCTGCCTTCTCCTGCCATCACATCCCTTCCTGGTTGCTCTTTTCTCCTTCCCAAAAACCTCATTTCAGGGTAGGAACAGAAAAAGCAGCTGCTCCTCTGCAACCACTGCCTGTGTGAACGCCGGGGGAATTGGAGCACCTTTTGTCAGGTTTTAGCTGAAATCCACTTTGCAAGTGGATTAAGGAACTGGCACAAAAGTACTCTGGATGGAGAGTGGGAAGAGGAAAAAGCTGCTATTCCAGCACGGCAATAGGAGCCAGGAATGCTGCGCTTGCTGCCTGCTCCATTTCCCCGAGAAACACAACCCGGTAACATCGGCGGCTAAACCAACCCTGGGAATTTTCGACAGGAGAATCCGCTAAAATCCGGGATGCTCGGGGAAGAGGCAGGAAGGGCCCTGGGGTGGCGAGGAGTGCGGACCTGCAGCGCCGGGGGGAAAACGCGAGCGGGAGGAGAAGGGAAAAGCTTTCCCGACGCCCGGCGATGCTCGGACCCGCTGGGCTGTGCCGGGGAGCGGGGCTGCGAGCGGCGGCCCCAGCCCTAACGGGGCGGGGGGGGACTGCGGGTACCGGACCCCCGGGAGCGCCGGGGATGGAGCGGAGCAAGGGCGGGATGGAGCCGGCGCCGAGGCGACACCGCCGCCACCCCCGGTGCGAGCCTGCCCGGGGGCACCGGCGCCGCCCGCCGTGCCGAGCCCCCTCCCCGGGCACGGCCGGGGGCTGCGGAGGGCCTGGCGGGCGGTGGGCACAGCCGGGCAGCCGGGGAGGGATGGAGGGAGGGATGGAGGGAGGGATGGAGGAGGCTGCGCGTCCCCAGGGGCGGCGGGGGCTCGGCGGCCGCCCCCCGGCGCCACGTGTGCGGCTCGGCACGACCCTCCCCGGCCCGGGACCCCGCACTCACCGCTCGGCGGCCGCGGCGGGGCTGCCCGTGGCGCGGCGGCGGCGCGGGCAGAGCCGCAGCCCCGGGGGCGGCGCGGCGGCGGCTCCGGACGGACCCCGGCCCGGCCCCGGCCCGGCCCCGGGGGCGGCGCGGCGGCGGCAGCGCCTCTCCAGCCGCGCCGGGCTGCGCGGAGCCGCCCCCCGCGCCCCCCGCCCGGCCGGGGGAGGGACGGGGCCGGGGGCGATGCGCGGCCCCGGGCGGAGAGCGCAGGGAAGGGCACGGGGGTCTCCTCCCCGCGCCGCCGTGGGCAAAGGGGAGAGGTTCCCCCGGGCAGCCTGGGGTGTTCAAGCCTCGAGTGCCCTTCCTGAAGTCCCTGACCCCATGTCAGCACCGTGGGGTACCCCCGAGCATCCCGCCTGGGGTACACAACCTCATGCCAGCACCGTGGGGTACCCCCGACCACCGTGCCTGGGCTCCCCCAGCCCCACTCCGCACACCTGGGTACCCCCACACCGCCCTGCCTGGGCTTCCTCCACCCACAGGTACCCACCTGCCACCCTGCCTGGGGCCCTCAGCCCCCTAGCAGCACCCCCAAATACCCTCCCATCCCATCCCATCCCCATGAGAGCCTGTTTGCATCCCTCTGCCCAGTGTCCCCTGCCTGCCCCAGGGCAGGGTCTGGGGGCCACCTCACCTTGAGCTGCCCTCTGCACTGGAGGTGGAGGTGGTTGTGGATGAACACAGCCATTTCCCGTCCATCCCATGTGAAGCTGGGGCAATCGGGGCACAAACAGAGCCGTGACCCCAGGAATGAGCGCAGCCCCCAGCCCAAGCAGGGCTCCTGCGTTTGTGCCCCCACACTGAGCTCCACTGTCCCTTGCAGCAGTGCCAGGGAGATGCCAGGCTCACGGGACAATGACCTGGAGCCCCCCACAGCATCCCCATTCCCCATGGGAACAGCACTCACCATTGCTACTCCTCCTTGGAGTTCTCCTCTTGCTCCCCTTCGCTCCTGCCGGAGCCTCCTGAGCTGTGGTGATTTGGGTAATTGGGCTTTGAGGATGGCAGAGGCCAATTCCCTCCTTGGCTCTGACTTCCAGGGTGGAATTGTTGCTCCTCTCCCATCACCGCTCAGTCCAGGCTGGCCTTAGCCTTGCTGGTCCCTGGCCTCAGGGGCTGTGGGCAGCTGATGCAGAGCGTCCTGTGCCCTTGATGTGCTGTGTGCCAGCTGACCAAGCACCACCTGAGCCATTCGGTGACATTTGCTGCGTCTGACAGCGCTTTTCAAGCAGGGTTTGGCAGCATCTTCTTCACTTTACAGCTGAGGAAACTGAGGGCAGAGCTCAGGGGGAAGGAACGGGGCTCAGCACTGAGCACCAGGCGGGTCCAGCGCCGTGGTTTCACCTGGACTGGCTCTGTTGTGCGGGATTTTGTCAGGAGAAATGCCAACAGCTCTCCCAGCCTGTCAGTTCCACTCCCAAATCCCATCCCTTGCTGCAGCCCAGCGCTTCTGCTGATGGAGGTTCCTGGTGCCTCCTGCTGCTCGCTTGCTCCGGGATGTGGATTTATAATTTCATTGCAGGAACACGCAGCTCGGGCTTTCCCATTTGAGCTTCAGCCCCAGCCTCAGCCCTGGATCTGCGGTTAAAACCAGGAGATTTATGTGGCTGGGAAGGAATTTCATTGCTGTTTTAAACAATATCAACTTATCTCCTTAGGAAAAGATGAAAAATCTTCTGTGGCCGGTTTAGTTGGGGATGGATTTTTAAGAGGCTGGCGTGGGGGGAGGGTGTGCTGGAGCAATCCACGTCTCATTTCCATTCCCCAGGATGGAAGGTGATTCTGGCTAATTTGAACACAATCATTAAGCTGCTGTATCAAAAGACAAAGTCAATTAAGCAGCGTCCCCCCCCCTGCCCTGGCCCCTCAGGCTGCGCTGTTTTAATCAAGGATGGGGGAATTGCTGCTGCTTCCCCACAGCTCCCGATCCCGGTGCTGGGAGCTGATTTTGCCTGGTGGAAGATGCTCTCCTGCCTGCTGGCAGGGGTTAGAGGTGATTTTGGGGGAGCAGACTGCTGACAAATGCACTGGAGGAGCCCCAGGAGCGGGCTGCTTTGTCCCCTCCCCGAGCACCTCACCAGAAAATCAAATTATTTGTGTCTTACTGTGCCCCCTTTGTGGCATTATTTTATTCTGGGGGAAGCCAAGGCACAAACTTGGATAAGGGAGCGGGCAGGTTGTGGTTCAAGCCTGGGCTGTAGGTTTTGGCTCAGCCCTGCTCCCCCTCTGGGCTCTCTCCCCACCCATTAACTCCAGTGCCTTTCTGGCATTATTTTGGGCTTTGAGGAAGGAACAGGACAAAGCTGTGGAGGAAGAGCACCGGGCTGAGGTGACCAGTTCTGCTTCCCCAAGCCGGAGTCCAGCACAGGACATTGCAGAATCCCATGGGGCCCTTGATCTTGTGCTCCAATTAATTCAAATTGGCTTCAATATGAGCATAGATCCAAAGGGATCTTAGGCCAGGAGCCAGGGACAGGATGGGGAGGAGGTCCCTGCCAGGGGCTGTGGCATCTGGGGTGCTGAGATGGGACCCAGACCCCACCTTAGGGAGCTTTACCTCCATCTGTCACCTCTGTCCCAAGAGCCTGGCCCTAAACAAAGACAGCAGCCCCACAAATGAGGATGGGGACCCATAAATCACCAAAAATCTCCAAAATCTTGCTGAGCATCGGGATTGGGATGAACGGGGCCAGCTGGGAACACAAATATTATGGAATCATATAATCATCATAGTGGGAAGAGACTTTCAAGACCACCCAGTGCAACTGTGCCCCAGTTTGGGGGGACACACAGAAGTTGCAGGACCCTGGGGCTGCCCCTGCTCCAGGGAGGGTCCATGCCTTTGGAGATGCTGTTCCAAGTGACCCAGCTCTGGGAGTGTCTTGACAAGTTTTGCTGCTTTCTGGGGCATTTTCACACAGACTCAGCAAAAAGATTTAGGGAAAAAAAAAAAAAAAAAAAAAAAAAAAAAAAAAAAAAAAAAAAAAAAAAAAAAAAAAAAAAAAAGTGTGAGAGAAATAAAAAAATCACAGCTGCTCTGGCACACGCTCAAAATCCCAAAGAGTTTTTGAGTGAAACGTGCCAAGGGGAGAAAAATAATTCCAACAAAGTGAGAAGTAAAGTCCCTTTTGCCGCCAGTTTTCCCTCCGTGGGGAAGTGAGGGATCTTTCCCTGCTGATCCCAGGATCCAGAGCCTCTCCTTGCCTGCAGGTCCCTGCCAGCCCCTCCTGCCTGGTCCCCTGCCAGCCCAAATGCAGCATTCCAGCACTGCCAGCTCCAGTGACAGCCCGAGAGGTTTTTGTCCCCATTCAGGATGCAGCAGTGGGAGCCACGTGCTGACAGCAGGCTCCTGGAGCCCATTCATTTTGCCTAATGGGAACCTCGATGGGCTCCTCGAAGGAGCCAGCTGGCTGCTCCCACTCCATGTGGTCCTGCAGAATTGGGGTTTTGGGGAGCCCCCTTTGGTGCTGGGCTGATGCCACGAGGGTTTGGGGGTGCCAGGGAGCCAGTCCTGGCTTGGCAGCCCAGATCCCCCAGCCCCAAATGCCCTTGAGCAGAGCCAGCCACACCACAGGGACTGGGGACAGCACTGTCCCCAGGATTTGGCCCCCAGGGCTGAGCTGGGGGTTTATTCTGTGCTGACCAGAGGCTTTGCAGTGCTCCAAACATCACTGGAGGGTGACATCGCACAGCTGGAGGGCACCAGGGACACCGCTCTTTGTTGTCCTCTCCATCCAGCCTGGAGCCACCCTCTCACAGGGTGAGGTGGGCCCAGGAGGTCCCATGGGCTCACTCTGGCCTGGTCACCCACCACACCCAAAAACGCAGCTTCTCCTCAGCTGTGCACTCTGGCAGGAGTCAAGCATGGAAAGTTGGGGGGCACAGCCCCACTGTGGGCTTTGGGGGACACAGGGAAGAGTGGCTGCCACACCACGAGTGACATCCGTGACCTGCTGTGCACAGAGCTGGGGTTGTTCCCCTGCAACTGGGGCTGTTCCCCTGCAAACCCTCTTGTTCCTCCTCCAAAGCCCTGGATTCCCCCTCCAAACTCTTGTTCCTCCTCCAAAGTCCCAGGTTCCCCCTGCAAACCCTCTTGTTCCCCCTCCAAAGCCCATTACTTCCCTCCCTCTCTGCCCTGACCCCAAAGTCTGTGTGTCTGCACTTTAGGTCTGTTCATTCTGAGCAGGAACCCCTGAGGGGGGACAGTCCCACCTCGTGTTCCCTGCCAGAGCCCCGGGTGAGCGGCCTGAGCCCGTGACTAAGCCCAGTTACTTTTAATAAATATTTGGTAATAACAATGGAAGTTTCTTTGGCCAGGAACCTGCTGTTCTGAGCTGTGCCAGGCAGAAGCACCATCAGGTGAAGGGTTTTCATCCAAGCAGGAGGGAAAGGGACCTTTCCCCTCCCTCACTGCTGGGCTTCAAGCGACAGCAGTGCTGGAATTTCACCTGCCCTTCCTCCCACTGCAACCCCTAAGTGAGCCCTCATGTCTGGGTCCAGCTGTCCCTTCTGGCACTGAAGTCACCCCAAGGTGACAAACTCCACCAAAGAAGGATTTCCTCCCTTTTTTAAGGGCCAGTTTTGCAGAAACATCCAGCCCCAGCCGGCTTCAGCAGGAGCTTTGCAAGGCTCAGCAGCCCTCAAACCTGGCCTAGCACTTCCCTGCTCAGAGAAGGATCAAGCAAATTATCTCTGGTTGCCCAGCACAGGCTGCATTTCTCCTGCTGCACAAATTAGGCCACCCCAGGTCCCATTTGCAAGGCCACCCCTGCTTTGCTGGGGATCAGGGGGGCTTGCACAGCACCCAGATCACGGGCATGGAGCTGGGCACGGCCAGACATGGAGCTCGTGTCACCCTCCAGGGTTGCCCGGCCCCACAGAGCCCATGGCCGAGGGTTCACTGCCCAGATAAGAAAGATATTGAGCCATGAGAGTGTCCAAAGGAGGGCAAGGAAGATGAGGAAGGGCTGGAGGGGAAGCCATGTGAGGAGCGGCTGAGGGCACTTGGCTCGTTCAGCTGGAGCACAGGAGATGAGGGGAGGCTCCTCGGGGCTGCAGCTCCTCCCGAGGGGAGGCAGAGGGGCCGGGGCTGAGCTCTGCTCTGGGACAGCCCCTGGAGCCCAGCGAGGGCTGGAGCTGTGCCAGGCCTTGGCATGGAGCTCAGGGAAAGGTTCTTCCCCCCGAGGGTGCTGGCACTGCCCAGGCTCCCCAGGGAATGGTCCCGGCCCCGAGGCTGCCAGAGCTGCAGGAGCGTTTGGACAGCGCTCTCAGGGCTGCTCAGGGTGGGGCTGTTGGGGGGTCTGGGCAGGGACAGGGGATGGATTTGATCCCTGTGGGTCCCTTCCAGCTCAGGATATTCTGTAATTAGATCCTAATGAACTCTCTGATGTCTGCGCTACCCTCATGGGTTAATGGAGTGGAAGGGGGGTCAGGCTGGAAGTCATTAAACCCCGGTGAGGTTTGGTGGAGGACTCTGGCATGAAAACCAGACTGTGCTGAGCTCTGGGGAGCTGTGAATTCCCAGTGTCTGGCACAGGCAGGAGCCTTCTGGGCTTCACTCCTCAGCTTCTGTGCAGATGTTCAGGGAGGGATTTTTGCTGGTTGTCCTTGACCGATAGGGAAGTAACTTAATTCTTTCCTGCCTCCACCTCTGTCTAATAACAGCCCTGCAAGGCCTGGAATAACTGTGCTTATCTCACAGGCTCTGGGGCTAAAAAGGGCCTTTGAGCTAATCTGGTGCTGCTGAGAATAGCTCTGTGTTCTCCTTTGGTGCAGGTGCCAAGCAGAGAAATTGATAAAGCAGAGGGAAAGTTCTGGACTCACTGGAACAGAGAAACCAAACAGGTAACTGAGGTTTTGTAATGTCTGTCCTCAAGGAGAGCAGAGCAACTGGAGACAGTGGCATCAATTCTGTCCTGCTGCCTCTGCTGTTCAAATCTCCATTCTCTCAATGCACCTGTGCAGTGAGAGCTGACAGAGATCCTCCTGTGTGGGATCTTGGAGGGGATTCAGTTTCTGGCAGCAGGATGGGACATAAGTACCCAGAGGAAAGGAGGCCCAGGGGGAACGTTCTTGCTCTTCTAACTCCCTGACAGGAGGGTGCAGCCAGAGGGGAGTTGGGCTCTGCTCGCAGGGAACAGGAGAAAAGACCAGAGGGGAACGGCCTCAAGCTGTGCCAGGGGAGGTTTAGGTTGGATATTGGGAAAATTCCTTCACTGAAACATTGTCAGGCATTGGAACAGACTGCCCAGGGCACACCACACACCTGGAAATGTTCAAAAAAGTGGTTGTGGCATTTGTGGGCATGGTTTAGTGCTGAATGTGTTGTTGCTGCTGGGCTGGTGGCTGGACTTGTTGATCTTAGGGTTAGGTTTGGATTTTCCCATCTTGATGATTCCATGATAAAAGTGCAGCACCATGTCCTCTCCCTGGCTCTGTGTTCCCTGCACACGCCTGGCTGAGGGAGCCTGGGGCTGGGGGTGCTCCCCTGTGTCCAGGGG